AGTGTGCTTAGGACAATCTCTGCACTCTGTTAATAGTACCCAGTAGAATGGATGACCGAGTCGTCTGAGAAAAATTTTGCAAGAGGCCCACATGAAAGACTCACACACCTTGAGTTAGGGCAAAAAGTTGGAAGCAAAAATTATATTTTTCATAAATTTTAAAAATAAGGACTTGCAATACCTACGAAGAGGTAGATTTGTGTACTCAAGCACACTTAATTTTATTATTTAATAATTTTATCATAATAAGAAAATTGTGCATATAATTACTATATTCTTTCCTTATCATTAGAAGGGTGTCAGAAGGCTACTAAGCAAGTTGTTATTAATTCAGATCGTTTGAACTTAGTAAATAGCATGGTATTATGTCACTAGGACTGCTCTGAGCATAAGCCACTGAGTAAAATATTGTTCGATCTCACCAAAAAGCGCTGTATAGAGTTTTGGCGAATTTGGTATCTACAGCTAATCTGATCTTAATTTCAGGTGCTACTAAGGCAGAGCAGCTCATGAGATCCATCATAGGATTAATCAAAGAACAGTTTTATCCAAGAATATCTTGGAAATTTGTCAGGACAAATCAAAAACGAAACTACTGGTGGACTGAAGAAATCACTTATTTGTGGAGGACACGTTACAGACCTTATCGCAGATTCAAGTATTTTCAGTGAAGGGAAGGTGAAAGGTAGGCGGTAGAGATTTACAAAGACGCAAAGGAGAAACTAGTAAAAGTAGTAAAAGTAAAAAATTCGTTGTTTGGGTCATCTCATTGCAGAGGTCAATTAAATAGAGATACCTGAGGTCTAATCTAGCACATAACGACCTACCAAGCAAGTAGCTTAGGACCAGTAAGGCTAATAGAGTCGTCGGTTATGCAGGACATTGTTAGAGCTCTTTTATTGACACATCAAGATTAAGAGTAGCCTGGGATAACCGTAGTAGACAAGATTTTTTTATCTACGCAAATGGAATTATAAGTAGTTTAGTTGGAACTTCCAGAACAAAAAATCTTGATATCAGGTTAAATATCTAATGAAGTCCTTAAGATTGCGGCAGTGGAAAAACCATATATTCTGCTAGATATGTTTTAATTCTCGTTTAAAAACAGGCATATTCAGTAGTCTCTAAGCGATCGAATGCTTCGTTCTTCTAGATAAGAGAAAGGGTCCACCTATGACTCTAAAATGATCTCATCTCCAGTGTATTCGGGACAACTTAAGCAAGGTACGTGAGAAAATCATCTAAGCTTGCTTACGTGGGCTGCTAAATCAAGCTGACCATCAGCACGGTCTTAGAGCTAGCATATCACCATGACATGCTGTGTTTGAGTTTTTGAAGTACGTAAAACAGGCATGGCAAGATCCTTCCAAGAAATGCTTGCGTCCATAATCACTCTGGACGTTAAAAACACTTTTCACTTGGTGAGATAGTCTCACATAGGAAGGTTGCTGTGCAACCAGGAGGTACTAACTAACCTTAGGAGTGTCCTAGATAACTATTTTTAGGTCTGTCTACTTTAGTACTATAGAACAAAGGGACTATGCAAAGAAAGATTAACGTTAGGAGTTGATCCAAAATCTTCACTGGGTCTATATATCTGGAACCTCATGTATGACAGGCTCCTACACTTATAAATTCACAAGGGAGTAGAGTAGGTGAGCTTCGCGAATAATATTGCCCTTGTCGTCTTAGCATGATCCTGGATCAAAGCTAAGCTCAGGATTAAGTGGGGGACCTGCAAGGTATCAGAGTGGCTGAAGAATCACAGCATAAAGCTAACTGACCACAAAACGAAAATGGCTATCTCTATTTGGCAGTGATACTTTGGTAAAGGTTTTCGTGCGAATATCGTTTGTACAACAATCTGCGAGAGCCCCGCAGCCAGGTACCTCAGATCGTGGGTTAACTTTTACTTCACATTTAAGGAACACATGAGAAGAATCGTGGTATCGGCCTTAAGGGTAACGAGAGTTTTGTTGTGACTGATCCGAAATATGGGTAAGCCACAATAAGCCTAAGGGATAATACTGGTTTAGGTCGTGAACTTCACCATGTCGTACGGCTTGGAGGTATGGTGAAATACGTTGGTAGCAGCAGAATCGCTTAACACTTGCGCAGCAGCTCAAGGTTCTGTAGATTGTCTATGTCTACCACATGGTACGTTAGGTCACAGTGATGGTAATCATGAGGTTTTTTTAGTTTTAGAGGTGGTATGGGTAGTGTAAGCAACTAGAGAGCCATTTGGGTTAAGCTGTCAAACCTAAAAATATCCTCAGCGTCATGTTTAGTTACGCCACTGCTTGTAGGGCTGTTGATGGTCTCACTTGGACGTTTCTCTGGGAGATAAGGAGGAAGAAGATCAAGGGGGCTTTCTGAAAAAATTGTGTGATTCTGTGTTACGCCAACTACTCCTACTTATTAGCAAGGGTGAGCAACAAGCAAGATGTGATACTTGCTTGCAGTGCAACCTACAAATGATCGCTAGACATAGTTGTTGGTTCTCTGAGATCCTAAGTTTTTTTCAGGACTTGGAAGAATTGGCAGCTCTAGCGACCAGTATATTTGTAAATGCTATGAGATACGATGAACTTCCAGATAGTACCACACCGAAATATAGCTAACGTGGTCCTAGGGTGTACCTTAGGCCAAATATCATGGGGGACGGCTTTTAGTAGATATTAATAGAGTAGTAACAAAAATTAACGAAGTCCTGCACTGCCCTAGTCTCTGTTGAGTGCATCAATGAATTTGGCCTCACATCACAGAAAAAAATCTTTTCAGAAGTCTTTGCAGTTTCAAGAAAGTAAGTGTTATCACTCTTGTATGCCTCAATCATGTCTGAACTTTTTTGTTGATGCTTTTTTTTTACGTAAGGGTGACTTTTGGCGAGAGTACATGTTTTTGAGCTTATATCAATTGACTTGCTTACGTTCATGGTTTCTATACAGCTATAAATTATTTCTTGCATGTATGCTTATGGGGTGCATGTTTTCACACATATCTGCTTTTTTGCATCAACATTCCATTTGTTGTACGTATTAGTATGCTTTTTTAACTATTTATGCCTTTTCAAGTGTTTATAAATTTTGGGGCTCATGTGCCTTTGAGCACATGTGTGTACGTTGAACAAGCAAATGTAAAAGCAGACTTTGAATTGAAGTTTTTTATTATTAGCCAGTTTTAGTAACTATACTCATTTTAACTATCTACTAACGTACAGTAGCAATATAAGAATAATAAAAAACTGCATGCACTTAATAACAGCATATTTCATACCGTAAACAGGTTGAAATTCAAGTTTAGTAACCTAAAAAAGTTCTTGCACTAAAACTTAAAAAAAATCTTGGAGCATAATTTCTCGTAGTTATCATTAAGATATCATTTCTAAACTTCAAACAGAAATAATTGGTGCTTTTTTGTAGTGCATGAGGTATTTCATTCTTTCAAACTTACGTTAAAAAAAAAGTAAGAATATGTATAGTTTCTAACAAAGGCTGGTGGTGCGAAATTAGAATTTCCAATCTATTGTCCCTTTTGCTTTGAACGTTAATGCTGTTTTTTACATGTATGCCGTTTGTGTGCTCAATGCGGCTTTTTCATGACTTCCGAGTCAAAAATAAAATTATCGAGTTAATATTCATTATCAGTGCTTTAATTTCAAACGGTAATTTTTCAAAATTCTTTGTTAAGTAATATTAGGTACGGATTTAAAACTTTAGATCATTATCTGTGACATTAAAGTTAGTAGGTAATTATGTAAAATTTGCGCTTAACCTTAAAATACCAGCAGTTCATGCTTGCCTATTTTTTTATCATAGGGCAAAAATTTTTATGTATGCCTATGTTTATTTAAATACTAGTTGATTTATTTAATGATCTTATAGTATTACGAAAGCTTTGTTATGGTAAATTTTTTACTTAATTATATTTAGTAAATAAATAACTAGGCCACAACTTTCTTGAAAAAAAAAAACTTAGTTGCTATAAAAGCACATGTATAGAATTTACTTTTCATTTATTATTCTCTTGCATCAGCTGACTTCAAAATTTAAACTTTATGTTATCTTATAAATCGTCCCTTAAGATTTTACATCATTCAGATCATAACCATTTCATTAAATGAGCCACCTTCACCCTTTTTTTGCTGTAAATTTTTTTGCTGGTACCAGGTAGGAAATACGTCTTTCATGCAAACTATATTATTGTATGGGGCATTCATTTTACTTGTACAAACTTTCACCTAGAGTCTTCCTCCCATTCTTACTCTCTCTGTCACTTATGATATTAAAAATAATTTATTTTTATCGATATTTGCTTATCATATTTACTATTATCTGGTTGATTAAAAAATATGTTTTTATTGAACTTGATAATAGCTGAAGTGTGCTTAGGACAATCTCTGCACTCTGTTAATAGTACCCAGTAGAATGGATGACCGAGTCGTCTGAGAAAAATTTTGCAAGAGGCCCACATGAAAGACTCACACACCTTGAGTTAGGGCAAAAAGTTGGAAGCAAAAAAGTTGAAATATCCGATATAATAATGATAAATACTAATGACTACTCATTCACAACTCAGGAAACATAGTAATAAGAAGTGTATGGAAGCACTACATACTGCGATTAATAAACCTGCCTGCGTGGTACTATTGTACCACTTGATATGGGTTCGTATCGTCATTTTAAGAAGACACTACATAGTAAGCAAATTTTGTTTCTTAAGTAAATTTTATAAGTATCATTTTTAAGTCTCTTTTAAACATTTATATTAAAAAAATGGAGTTTTGGACGTCCATACGCATTATTAGGCTTCAATAGCAGTCAGTGTAGACTGTTGATAGAATGTTGTTTATGATAGACTTCTTTTTTGTGATTATTTAATATTTCTTTTTTCTATGCATAAACACACTATACATCAAAAATTTATGGTCATCAACTGTGCTTATTTTTTTTTTATAGGTATTCTTATTCTCAAATGTTATATAATAGTATAAAGTTTACCAAATCTAGAAGAGCAGCCATCAAATGCGGTTCCAGTACTGCACCTGGTTGACAAGTTTCAAGTAAAAAAGAAAATCTTTGAATACCCCTCAAAAGAGTCTTCTTCTTAATTAACATGCGTTCTTTTAATAAAACAAATTCAGAATCTCTTGGAATTTCTCCAGCTTCGAAAGAATTTCTGCGACTAAGATCTAAAAAAAAGTTGTTCGAGCGTACAACATTATATTGGTAATAGTGCATCTTCAGTAATTACTTACAGCTGTTTTGTACATCTTCTAGACTTTGTTTGTTGCTTCCTTTTACCAAACCGATTTGAATTAATTTATCTTCTATTTGTCGCTTTGCTTTTCTTAAAGTACAGGTTACTCTAAAAAATATGCTTTGTTAATTTTTATCGTATTGAAATTCTTAATAAAATAAAAAATTTGTAAGACTATGTAGTGGGTTAGAGGTTTAAATGTGTTAAAATGATGATAGCAAAAATATTTATGTAATGTAAATTAAATCATTATTTTCCACAAGATAGCAGAAAAACACATTTTCTTTATACTTTATCAATTGAAGTGTCTGTTATAATAAGATTAAAACAATGTATAGCAGAAGTTATACTCTATACAAACTAAGATAACTTCTACAGCCATTCTGATCTATGATATCATGCTGATAAGTCACTGAAAACCCTAATTTACCTTACGAAAACGTCTTACACCCCATGGCTAAAATTAATCTAACTTTGTTAGATCAAAGGTAAGTTTTCTTAAAATTGCTTTTGTTTCATGTATCCCCATAAAAATACCTTCTGACAGAACTAAAAGGTTATGTAAGTGTAAAACGTTAAGTTATTATTTTGTGGATAATTTCTAAAGCCTTTGTACATCAGCAATACATAGTATTCTTTCTAATCAATCTTAAACCTTGTAAAGTCTTAAGATGTCAGTTAGAAAAGGGTAAACTTTTTTTCATGGTGCAACACACATTTTGTATGACACTCGCAGTATTATACTGTTTAGTACTCGTGCTTTAACAAAATCAATTTGAGTAAGTCGACTTTTGCCCTAATATTTTCATATTTATTCGTTATAGCAAGGCATTAATATATTTAATGCGAGAATTACATGAAGTACCAGTTAAAAGTCAATATGACTTAGTTTGATTTTTAAAAGTATGAGTACTTAACAGTATTATAATATAAGTGTCATTTATTATGTGTGTTGCACCAAAAAAACAAAAATCACTGCTTTCATATTTTGATCTCAGAACTTTTGAAGGCTAAAGATTTATTAGAAAAAATTTTATTTATTGCCAGTGTATAAGAGCTTTAAAAATTTCTTACTAAATATTACCTTTATACATCTTACCTACTCAGGATTTTTTATTTGCTCAAAGATACTTTTTAAGGATAGCATAGCTGTTACCATCAGGGCTGATTTGCAGTTTCAAAAGCCTGGAGAACAATGCTCCCAAATGAAGAAAGCTACTATCAATATACAGAGCATTATAAATACATATAAATATATATATACTTTATTGTTGTTTTCGTTGCAGATGTGCATTTTCTTGCAGTGGTTCCACTTATGTCCCACTTGTCTCTAAAATATGCTTGATATAAATGAAAAACAATAAACTATATAATTATTGGCAAACCACTGGCTCACTCGTAAGACAATGGAGTATTGCCACTACTAACTTTTTTTGTGCAATACTTTATAATTACTTTTGTCTTTAAGAATCCGTACAGTGATTCACTGCTTTTTTTAAATTTTTATTACAAATTATTTACTTCCATAATGCTCATAAAATAGACCGTAAGCCTCAGAACTCTATATCATTAATAGGCCTCTCGAGGAATAAGGATTCTTCTTGTTACAAGCTTTCAAGGGGGATAAATCCATAAACATGGTAAGAAACTTGACAGTGTTATGTTACACAACAAATAAAAATCGCGAATTAATTAGTAGGTTTGGCAACCATATTTCAAAAAACTATCAGAATTTCTTAATTTATGTTATTAAATAAAAACTGTATTTCATAGCAAAATTTCAAAGTTATAAACAATTTATGCTTGATATGCAATAGCTTCTAGTATTAAATGCGTTAAGACAGAGAATCTTTAAAATAATAAAATAGAATAAAAATGAGGCAACCAATTAACTTTAATCCATCCGGACAAAAGAGCATTGGTAATATCTGAGGATAAATTCTTACAATGTAGACTTAACTCAACATTTGTCTGGACAATAAACCAATGACTTAGTTAATACTGATAAGAAAACAAAAAATCATGTGCGAGATTTTAGGTAATGATGAACCATAAAAAAAATACCTTAGCACCTCAAAAATATTTGTTCAGCTAAATACACCTGCTACCTACAGTATCAGGTTTAACAGTCTATGATCGACTGATAGCCATAGACCTACTAATAGGTACAACATAAGTATATGGTTCAGTTTTAAATGGAGGTATCAAGCGGCCAAACTTTCCCAAAGAAGTTTAAACAAAAACATCCAGATTTTATTAGTAACTATTTGTAATTGTCAACCTAAAATAAATTAACCTCAGTACGTACGCAAAACGGGTGTGCTATTTTGAAAAAAAATCATCTAAGTGTTAGTGGTCAATCTTGATAAAAGGACATATTAGATTCATCGTTTTTCTTTAATGATTTTTTGCATAAGAACGAAACAAAGTTGACAAAAAAAAGCTTCTAGGGCTCACAGAAACCTTAACTATGCCAAAATTTGTAAGAGTATGAATTGAAAGAAAAATCTCAAATACAACTTATGTGTACAATTTGAGGCCTCAAGTAGCTGATGCAGAACATTTATACAGATTAGCCGCAGCATCAAAATCGACAAATAAAGAATTTATTAAGGAGGCTATCTCGTGCAGAATTGCCAACCCTCGTTGTAGGTCTCGAATTTGCTGGCAAACTCAGGTATAGTTGGCATCACTGGTGCGAGAGAACACAGACTTACCTGTAAAAATACCATGACTTGATCAATTTTTAATATAATATTTCAAAACTTTTCAGGGTAACACTTACTTTGCTCGGCGTCATTTGAAAGGGAATGTTTTTTTCTTCAAAACGTGTACGCTCTTATTATGCAAACTGTTGACTTAATCGAGTTTTTAAGTTGTTTTCATTGCGTATGCTAGCTTCACTATATGAATACGTGTTAGAAAGCGCTACATTGAATCAATAATATCTCGAAATTTTGCAGGGTAAGCGATATAAATAATTATACCATTAGATTCAGTAGATTGTTAACTAGTAAGTTCATCTGGTCTTGGTTTAGGGACTGTCACGAGGGATCCTCCTTCAGTAAGTGATAAGCTTTTCATTATAACCCTTACAGTAATCTCTTACAAGTAATCTCTTTAATCTACAAGATTTTTAAAATAGGTAAAAAATTTGTTTGTATTTTGGTAGCGATAAAAAATGTAGAGATTCAGCTCCAGGACTTTGTTGCTGTGGTAATAAAGTTGTGAGACAAAAAAAAATTTTGTAATTGTATACTTTTTCGAATTTTTGATCCTTACATCTTAAAAAAAATGCTTTTCGTAGATCATACGGGAGAAACTACAAATTCACGGCCCTTTAGGGCAAACAATTATTTTATGGCATACGGAACGCAAGGTACCTCTCACGGTACTTTTTGACATAATTATACCTTTTTTACCTTTAACGGCTCATTATTTGACCAAATGAATCGTATGGATTCCAAAATATAAGGTTTTTCTAAGAAGATAATTGTTTTAAGTAGTGTCAGGAATAGATGTCAAATTTTTAAATCAAAATGGTTGACGTTACATGTCAACACACCACGGTGCTTTATTTAGTGAGCCTTGAGCGAAGCCAAGACGGAAGGTGGGACGCTAGTTGTGAATATTTATAAGAAAATATAAACTTTTACCATAAGACTTACACTTTCTTATTTTGTTGAGTTGAGGCTCATAATATGTTATAATTTTTTTGTAGTAAGCGTCGTGTATTAGAAGTTATGTTTATTTTAAAATATATTATAACTTTGGTAAATAAAAGTTTTGTTAAAAGCAGCTTACATGCAAGAACAATTAGAGCATGTTTTTTGTGTTCAGGTAACTTTCAAGAGATTAGGAGAGTGAGTAACATTTTATTACAGTATCTCAAAAAAGTTTCCTTGTGACGAAGCTTGTTTAGAGTATGGTGTTAACCGTTGTATTTAAGTTTTATTAGTGGGTGTCCTAGTATTCACACACGTAGGTGCGTATGCTTCAAGGTGCATCTTTCTGTAATGTGCTGACATATAATATGACCTGCTTCGTTGTTGGTATACATGAATTAAAATTATGCGTTTATGTAAATACGTACGCATGCACAAATTGTGTTGTATGCATATACATATTGCGAAGTAGTCTCTTATTGTAATGTACAAATGTTGTAGCCCCGTAAAAGGTGTGTATTACATCCGATAGTTAGTGTTAGTTGTGCTGGGAATTTGGAGATTTATGCGTGGACGCGATGCGAATATCGTTACACGCAGGGGAGTTGGCCGTGCAGCAGCCTGACAGGCATGATTCCGTTGGGGGAATGAGATCTGCTGGGCAAGAAGAAACTTGGAGAGTTTTTGGCTCCACTCAGGAACGATTAAAGGTTTTCTTCGAAGATCCTCTGGGCTGAGTTCTCAATTGTCAATTTGATGTAATAATCCTGAGTACCAATCTCTTTTTTCGAGAGGAAGCTTTTGGTGTTCTAGGGTATCATTACGGAGAGCGGGTGTAAATCTCTGATTGCCTAATCGATACAACCAAGCGGTGTTCCTGAATCCAGCTGACTTGTATAGCAAAATATAAATTTTCACAAGCATGATCGATCCTATAGTATAGTTAGTTACGTTCCCATGGTTTTGAGGCTGTGAGTCCTGTGTGTTGAGTGCGACGCCCACTGTTACCCGTGCCATTTAATTATTCAATTGATCGCGTTCGCCAAGTTATTTTTGTATTATTATTATTTTTAACTAATGTTTATATCTGTTAGATAAAATTAACGCCATAAATCGCAAAAAAAAATTCGATACTAACTTGTTCAGAACACGTACGATTGACTCTCAATGCAAAGTTGAGGGCAATAATCATTGTACTCTAAGGCTTCCTTTTTTTTATCCCGTGGGAATGTATTCATTTTTTAATGAACTCTACACCGAACAGTACCATTTTTTCATTTTAGAGTCATAATAACAGTAATATTTTTTCTCGTATCAGTCGTGCCATAAATTCAAAAACACAGTTTTTGCATAAATTTAGCCGCTTGTTTGTAATAATGATGATTTTAAATATTATGTCATTTACTGTTGAGATAACTTTTGAATAATGGAGAAATAAAATTA